AGAGAGAGTCAGGGAACCAGAGAGTAAGAGACAAAAAGAGATTGTGAGTGAGAGATAGAGAGACAAAGAGAGGGGACACAGAACACTGAGAGGAAAAAATATAAAATTAAGAAATATAGAAATGTTTCTGCTCATTTTTGTCACATCTTAGTTTAAATAAATAGCCAATCGACCAGGGATGACAGGACAAACAGGGGAGGGTGGGGGGGGGGGGAGTTGTTTAGGGTTAAAGCCCATTGCAAAACAGTAAGATGATTTTAGAGTAAGGTCTTCCGAATTTTTAACGTCTTTCTCCGATTGGATCAAGCCAAATGGAAAAAGTCGTGAAAAGTAACTTTCCCAAGCAGACAATATCGGTGACAGACGAAGAGATAAGAGATAATTTGTTTTAGTTTTAGTTCTAGTAAGTGTTTTGCGGCACCTGCACCACAATAAGGTCATATAGATCTAAGTGACGAAGATTAGAGGTGCTTCAAGAGAGTAACCAACACAAAAAGAAGGAGGGGAGATAAAGACAATAGACGTTTGGTAGTAAAAAAGATGCAAACCACACCAGAGCACCCACCAACCACCCACAGAGATAATTTGTGAGCTCATGAGACCATTAAATATGTGTATATATATTATGTTATCAGAAAAGTTTAGGAATCTCACATACTGCTAGTTTCTTCTTCTTTGTTTTTGTATGTGTTTGGGGGATGGGGTATTGGAAGATGAAGAGAAATTGACTTAGACTTTCAGAGAGAGACAAAGAGAGAAAGAGAGACAGAGATACAGAGAGAGAGAGAGAGAGAGAGAGAGAGAGAGAGATGGAGAGAGATGGAGGGGGTGGAGTTGACGCGGAAGGAGGAAGAGGGATAGGGGGAGAGAAAAAGAGAACGGAGAGAGAGTATCAGAAGAGAAAGTCAGATGAGGAAACACACTTGCACATACGGACAGACAGACAGACAGACAGACAGACAGACAGACAACTTTTACATAATAATATATGTTTGAGTGAGTGAGTGAGTGAGTGAGTGAGTGAGCGAGTAAGTGAGTGAGTGAGTGAGTGAGTGAGTGAGTGAGTGAGTGAGTGAGTGAGTGAGTGAGCTGTGTGCCCTATTCACTCCCACAATTTTACTCACAGTCAACTTTACTTGGTGACGCTACCGCGCCAGTTTGTGAGTTCAGCTTTCACTCCCCTCACCCTAACACACTCAGCAGTCTCCGTCTCGGTTCGAACGCCCGCATGTAGTTACCGGCGTGAGTGACAGGCATCCCGCTCACCCCTTCCCCGCCTCATGATTGGCAGAGAGCCGCAAAGCTGCCGTACGCAAGTGAGATAGGAACGCGTAGAGCCGAGAGAGGGGAGTGAGTATTGGTTCCCTCTTGCTGAAGCCACGCCCACTCGTATTTTGACGGGGCTTAGAGGGGAGGGGCGGGGAGGGACGGCGCTTCACGTCAGTCATGACAAGCGTGGCGATACCGCCACTGATCCGCTAAACAGTATAAAGATCTCTCGTGGCGAACGCGGCCAACACTTTTGTCTGATAACTGGGCTCTTTGAGAGATACTTTATCCTGTGGTTTTCCTAGCGGAGAAGCAGAAAGTGGAAAAAAAGAAAGGACAGCAGCGATTAGATAGAGGTAGAGTCGAAAAAAAGAACCGAGTGCTCCTAGGTAGTTATTTCTCTACAACAGGCAGGGGCGCACCACCAACCATAGTAGTGTTACTCTGTCTTATTCCTCGCCTCCTGTCGTGGCTAAAAATACTCGAAACTGCAGCGTAAAGTTCTTATCTGCTTCGCGAGTGTGTTGTGTTTTTCTACCAGGACGATATTGTTTTCATTCCACAGGGCGAGGCTCCGTGGCAGTGTTTCTTATTGTTGATGGTTAGTTCAACCTTGAAGTAGTTCCATGTTTAGAAACGGCCATCGAGTGACGTACGAGACACTGAAGGCTATCATGGTTTGGACTGTAAGGTGTGTTCTACGAGTCGGCGCTGTGGCGTATTGGTAAAGTTTACTGTGTTGTTGTTTAGGTTTATTGCCATAAGACTGTAGCAACCCTTCTTGGGTGCATTTGTACTCTCTGTGAAAACATTACAACTGCTCGACTTGAGTGATAAGCTCACATATCAACGTTTAAGTAAAAGTGCGGTGGTAAAGATGGGTTCACCTCAGAAAGACGGCGTTTTGGATGGACCAGTGACTGCTGTGAAGCCGAAGGGAGGAAATCCTTTCAGCATCAGCAGAGTTTTAGCAGATGACTTCGGAAAGAACTTTCGTCACGGGCTTCCAGTGAATAGCAGAACAGCACAGCCAGACGTGTCTCCACACGCTGCCACCGCCTCCTCTGTGTTCTCTTATCCACACAGCGCTCTACAGCATCAACAACAACAGCAACAACTTCTTCACCACCAGCAGCAGCAGCAGCAGCAGCATCTTCCGTCTTTTATTCACAATAACAATAATAACATTACAAGTGAAGTAAATAAATCGCTGGTAGATTCGGCTTCGAGAGACGCCATGACGGTGTTTCGTTACGGAGATCATCCCAGTGACCACGAGAAGTCTTTATCTCCACCTCACAGCACCCGAGTTCCTCACATCACAGACAGACACACTGACGTACACACAAACGGACGCTGCTCCAGTGCTCGCAGAGATCTCTCAAGCCCCACATCCTCACACGGCTCGCCTGAACTGCGAGATTCGAACCCTACCGACAGCAATATCATCACAACATCCTCGACCTCAGACCCAGCCGGCGAACCTCGACTCTTCCCTTTCCACAGAGACCACCGTTTTAGCCCAAATTCGCATTTTGAGGCTAATTCTCAGTTTGAGTCATCAAACTCGTATTTCAACTCGAAACCTCCTCACTATCTCCAGAACTGCCAGTACTCCCCGGGTAGTGCTAGCGACGTTCATGAACGGGATGCCCAGAGTGGGAATCGGCTTGTGTCCAGCACTGAAGAGTGTGGTCCGGGCGGCAGAGACTTCACAGAGCGGGAGAGTTCTTGTGGCTCCCCTGTGTCTTGTACAGATTCTGTCTTCGACAAAGAGGACCAGAACAATAACACAGACATTGACGTCGACGATGATATCAGTGACTCAAAACTAGACAATCAGGAAAACGGCTGTGGTAACGAGGAGGAGGTAAAATCAGAAGACGGCGTCGATAAAGAAGACGGTGGGGCTGACGATGCTAGTAGTACAGCCAATGAGGGTGAGGAAAAGGAGGAGAAGAAGGAGGGAGAGAAGACCGAGGAGGAAAAGAAAAACGAGAAGCCTCCTTTCAGCTACAACGCTCTGATCATGATGGCGATCCGCAGTAGCCCCGAGAAGCGCATGACGCTGAGCCAGATCTACGAGTTTATCACCAAGAACTTCCCTTACTACCGGGACAACAAGCAGGGCTGGCAGAACTCCATACGGCACAATCTCAGCCTCAACAAATGTTTTCTCAAGGTAAGCATTTGTTTGTTTGTTTGTGTGTTTGTATATTTGTACGTGTGTACGTTTGTACTTTTGTACGTGTGTACGTTTGTTCGTTTTGAGTTTTTGTTCTAAACTTATCGATCTACCAAGTAGATTCTAGGTGCAGTTGTTGTGGGTTGAAACATAACAGAAAATATACCTACATGATAAAGTATATTATTATAATGAACAAGAACCTGACCCCCTCAATAAAACGTCTAACACAATAACATTACTTTCTTCTTGCTGATAATTAATGCTTCACCTGGTACCTAGTAGTAAACTTGCCCAAAGATGTACGCTTCGCTGATTGAATAAGCATCCTCTCTGGGAAAAAGTACGACTTTAGTTTTTAAAGCATAGGCACGCTCGCGACCCAAAAGAAATTTATTAATTAGATACGACATTTTTAATGATACCAACTCGTAATTGTATAATTTATGGAAAAATTATGCTTCACCAGATTTGTTTGTTTATTTTCTCTATTTCTAATTAAGTCTCATTTTTACGATTTAGATAAAAATGAAACACTACATCATTATTATTAAAACTTTAAATCATACCACTTTGACCATAATGCATTTCTTATAAAAAAACTTTTTTAAAAATAAAGCTGCACTTAATCCAGTGTGAAACACTTTGCTTTGTTTCAAATATAAAGTAGTTAATTTAACAAATGATTATACCACGGTTGGATGGAGAAATACACTCTGGGATGTTGTTAGTTGGTGGACATTGCAATAGGGTCTGCTCTGTATGCTTTTGTCACTGTAATATATTACATGCATAGTAATAAAAATCTATTTCTGGTTATTATGGTCTTTGTCAAGCGTAAAACTCCACAGCAGCAGAAGTGGCAACAACAACAAAAACAAAAACAACAATAACAACATCATAAGCAGCTGCAGAAGCAGCAACAACAACAGCAGCAACAAACAACAACCGCAATGACAACAACATTTTTAAAAAAAATCAATCAGAACCAAGTTCAAAGGCATAACACAACATAAATTGAGGAATCTTGCCATAAAAAAAGACAATGATAATCTCTTTGACTTTCAAGAAATGAGACAGACAATTAATCAGACTTAGCATCTGGCCGTTCAGTTTGTTTCTTTTTCGTTATTTGTGTTTTTTTCCCTTGCATCAAGCCTAGTTTCAAATGCGATATAAAAATATCACTTGAAAAATAATAATATATACTGATTATACTCAACTAAAGTTTTATTCGTTACATTTTTGCTACTGACCTAAAGTGGTCAAATAACATCTATACTATTCAAAATGTGTTTGTCTACATGCATACTGTTTTGCAATAAATATTAAAGTATTGGCCGATTTCTTTAGTGTACCATTTCATCTTCTTTCACTTTACTGCTAAATGAAATGTAGATCTACATCATCATAAACATTAAAATTTTAATAAATATTATAGTTGCTATCATTATTATCATTAATATTAATAGTAATATTATTGTTATCATTAGCATTACCATTATCATTATCATTATTATTATTATTATTATTATTATTATTATTATTATTATTATTGTTATTATTATTGTTAGCATCATTATTATCATTACTATCATCATTATTATTTTTATTATTCTTAGTAGTAGTATCTTAAATAATATATTTGACTAATATCACAATGATTATTTTTATGATTATAGTATTATTATCATTGTTATTATTATTATTACTACTACTACTACTACTACTACTACTACTACTACTACTACTACTACTACTACTACTACTACTACTACTACTACTACTACTACTACTACTTGATTTTTCATAAGAGCAATAATTATCGATTAGTTAATCCAATGTTTATGCCAATATTGGTGATATTAATTGTATTACAATATTATTTCTTTTAATGACAAAGAACAATTCAAATGAAAATGAAATAATATTTAACAATAATGATGATAATAATAGGAATTTTAAAAAATAAAAATAAAATAATAATAATAACAATAATAATAATAATAATAATAATAATAATAATAATAATAATAATAATAATAACGACATGATAATTAGATTCACAGTAACAAATATAAAAATGTCACTGAAATAACGATACAAAACAATGATAGTATTATCAATAACAATAGTAATACCAATGTTGATACTGAAAAAGATAAAAGGCACTATTACTATTATCCTTATCATTATTATTATTATCATTATTTTCATTAGTATTATTATAATAATAGTTATTATTATTATTATTACTATTACTATCTATTATCATTATTATTACCAATAATAATGAAAGTATTATTATTACATGAAGAAGAAGAAGAAGAAGAAGAAGAAGAAGAAGAAGAAGAAGAAGAAGAAGAAGAAGAAGAAGAAGAAGAAGAAGAAGAAGAAGAAGAAGAAGAAGAAGAAGAAGAAGAAGAAGAAGAAGAAGAAGAAGAAGAAGAAGAAGAAGGAGAAGAAGAAGAAGAAGAAGAAGAAGAAGAAGAAGAAGAAGAAGAAGAAGAAGAAGAAGAAGAAGAAGAAGAAGAAGAAGAAGATTATAATAATAAGAAGAATTACAATATTAACAAACTAATAATATAAACTATTACTATAACAATAATGATAACAACAACAATAATGATAATATAATTACTATTGTTGTTATTATTATTATTATTATTATTATTATTATTATTATTATTATTGTTATTATTATTATTTATTACCATTATTGTTAATTTTTTACAAAATTATTATTATTAATATTATTATCATTATTATCATTATTTATTATTATTATCAATATTATCATTATTATTTATTATTATATATTTATTTATATCCTTATTATTATTATCATTATTACAGAGATTCAGATATAATTGTGATAATAATAACAATAACAGCAATAATGATAATAATATTGGCATCGATTAATAAACTGATAAGATAATAATGAGGGAAAAAAATTATTATTGTACTTATCATAATTATAAATATCATCATTTTTATCATTTTAATATTGGCACCACATTAGTCCAAATAGTACTAAGCTGGGGTACGGAGTGGATGATCTTGGCTCAAATCCCTACTTTGTGCGGATCGAGTTTTTAAGGCTTGGTGCTCAATAAGGTTACAGTGCTTAAAGAGACGTATAAACCTATATTAATAATTTCGTACTTTATTATTATTACGGTTATTTTCATTACCACCACCATTATCATTATTAATCATTTGCTGTTAGATAATACATCGCACACATGCTTTTACTTCTACTATAAGAAATTGAAATTACTTTACTATCAACATAACAAGAACAGTTACCTCCACCGTCACTATACATGTATTCCTAGCATCAATGGGTATTTTTAATTTTAAAGATAATTAATTGATAGTTACTGTTTGGACATAATAATATTTCCTTTTTTCTTTAATCTTTCAAAAAATTATTCCTTTTATTGTTCTTCTTCTGCCATCGCTACTGGTTATAAAGACAATGATATAATCGTCATAACCAATTATGTTATAAAGTAATTAATCAAATGTTCACCCTTATGATTATTTATAGTTAAGGGCGTTGTTTTTTAATTTCCTGACAGGGATATGTGTCTACATAAAGAAAGTTGCATTTTAATGACAATCATACTAACGTTCGATTTCTTATTAAAAGTTAAAAACAATATAAAACTAATGTTGTTGTTGTTTTTTAAAAATCCAGATAGGCCCACTATGTTATAAAAATGTAATTTCTTATTTTTATGATATATGTAGTAAATAAATGTAGTCCAGCTACTTGAATGGTTGAATTATACACAGGAATATTAGATAGATCTACTATTGTAGTTCATGTAACCGCGTGTGATATTTACTGTAATTTGTTGTTTCAGACTGATGTGTTTCATGATTCTTTCCTTCATAACCCTGACCACTGGGCCAATGTGCTCAAACGTAGAAAATAAAAGAGATAAGTTGTGATGGTTATGGCTTTGAACAAAGTCAACACAGATGTACTAGAGTGTAGAGGGGAATTAACAACTGCACTTCTCTTGTCCCAGCAATTTTTTGCCGGTGTTTGTTACAAATGGCCCGAACTGCCACGTAAAATGATAACATGTGGGACGTAATAATATTATAGTCGGCAATCTTTTTTAAAATATTGTTATTTAAACGGTATGGTAGTAATTGTTCATAACAGGTTGCGAGTGTATATGATTACGACATTCACTGCCTTGCTCGGGAAAAGGATTTCTTTGTCGGCCTTTACTTTTTAACGATCAATAGTAATAACGTCATGATGATGATGATGATGATGATGATGATGATGATGATGATGATGATGATGATGATGATGATGATGATGATGATGATGATGATAATGATGAAGACAGCAGCAGCAATAGCTATGGGCTACACCATAGGCGTCGATTATCGACATTGACAAATTTACGATATACATTTAATTATAGCATGTTTGTATCTACATTAGGTCAAACGCCGGACGCTTAAAGGATCAAGACTGAAACAAAACTATATTATATTAAAGTGTGAATGGGTAGCAGATATTCCGGGAAAAAATAGTAAAACATTGATTACACTACACTAGTTCCTCTAAGAAAGACAACATTTGTTTAAAAGTCTACCTTGATCGACAGAGGTGCAACAATTTTCACTGATAGATAAAAAAGGCCTTAAAAAATCTACATTATTTAAGAAAAGGATAATATGTCTGAATTTTCTACACCAATCAGGGCAACTGTATTTAGAATGTTAATGCCTTGTTTCCTTCATAATTTTTTTCCTCAGTGGTATGGATTATAGTACTAGCAAAAACATAATATGCATGTAGTTTTCCTTTCGCCAAAATAGTTTGAAAATAGACCCAAACAAACTTTTTACTGTAATATATTATTATTAGAGACACTCTTTTAAAGACGTAATGCAGTGGAGCCAGTGAAGGCTTTCTGTTTCTTTTCTTCTTTTTCATTTTTTCTTCTTCTTTTTTCTTACTATTTTTTAATTTTTTTTTTTTTTCCTTTTTTTAAAAATAAATGAAATAACAACTCTCGTGGGCATTCATTTATTCAGTTAAGCATTACCACATAATATAGAAATAACAGACAGTAATGCGATTTTTCTATAAGACAGACCTAGATTTTTGTTTTTAAATGGTGATATGTCATGAACAGCGGTTGCGACATCTTATAATGAAAATAAAACACGAAAGACAGCCAGTCAATGACAACCGCCCCTTTTCTAGAAAAAAAAAGTGGTCATGTTAGACAGTTGGCCCTTGTGAACAGTGAGTGTCTTTATAGTGATGATACAGAAAATAACACGAAAGGTATTTTTTTTTTTTGGGGGGGGGGGGGTAAAAGCGGTCATATTTTGTACAGGTGATTGTCTTGGACAGGTCGCCTTTGTGTAGGGTCGATTATAATTTATACCGGGTGGATAGAATAGGACTATATCAGAAAGATTTTGATGCATCTTGCACTAAATTATAGGCCAAATTGAGCTTTTTTTTTTGCGACTCTGGTTTTTTACTTAAATTTGATATTTTTATAGCAATATACTTGTCCCATACCGTAGAGTGTTATGGAAGTTACCGTGGCTTAGAAAGGTGTTTATTTTATTGAAACTTTTATTCAAGATTGATAGCCTAATTTCCTAAACACACTCACAAACTCACACATACTCATACATACTCACACATACTCACACATACTCACACCCACTCACACACACACACACACACACATAGAATTCACACACACACACACACACACACACACACACACACACACACACACACACACGCACACACACATACACACATGTGCGTGTGTGTGAGTGTGTAAGAAGCTGCCCATGCGCACAAATTAGGTCTGCGTCTATCTTCACAGTCCTGCCAAAGTATTATTGAACACGTCTATCATTACAACATAGATCTAGGTAGGTTAAAGATCTGTTTCATATTCTTCTCGAATGGTTAAAAAACGCACGTGTTGGTGTATACATTGGAGATCCGTGATTTCCGCGCGAGAGAAAGCTTGTAAAGCTGATCGGCAATGTAGTCAGCCAAGAGTCTAATCAGAGAATCTGACAGCTTGCAAGCCGCCAGGTGGCGCAGTATTGTAATCAGACATGTTGTGGGGAGAAGGGATTAACTACCCCTAGACGTCGGGATTGATTATTATTTGAGATTTTGAAGCTATGGAAAAGTACACGAGTAGAAATCGCTACGATGTTAAAAACTGTTAGACCGCAACATTGTTTCAGCTTTGAAAACATATTTATTTTAGAAACATTGATATTTATTATTCGCAAAAAAGTAGTCACCACTTTAACCTTTCAGTCTCTCATTTCTGTCTCCCCTCTCTCGTTATTTGTAGTTGACGGTCCTCAGCACCTCGCTATTCCCAACAAATCGAAGATATTTAGTATATAGCTTGCACAACAAATAATTGAACCACACTTTTGCAGTTCATAAAATTAATCCTTCATTCACAATACAATATCTTTAGAAGATATACGTGCAATGTACTTTAGCGGCTAGAATTCAATGAACCGACATTCAAATTGCATCCTTATTTCAAGACCAGTGTTAGACTGACATTTTGCTCGTGGATTATTTTCAAAAAATATTATCAATTAATATTACTTTGAGCTACGCATCTAACATAATAATATATTGAATTAAAATGCTCCATTTCCATTCTAATACTTTAATCTGGTACGAAAGTTCCGCTCCCTCATCAGATAATAGGCCGAAATAAACAAAATCAAATTTTACACAGTCGTATGCTATTAGAAACAGTCCGATTTTCTTTATCGAAAAGTTTATTTACTGAATTCTCTGTTTAAAAAAACCCAACGAATATGATACATTTTTGACATACGAGGGGTTGCACAACCAATTCAGCAAGATGAATTATGAATAATATTATGTTCCTTTGATACGTTTAATATGAAAAAGAAACAAAACACACACACACACACACACACACACACACACACACACACACACACACACACACACACACACACACACACACACACACACACAAAATGAACAGTGCAAAATACTAATGATTTTCCCTTTTTGTGTGCTTCTCTAGGTGCCCCGCCATTACGACGACCCTGGCAAGGGCAACTACTGGATGCTGGACCCCTCCTGTGATGACGTCTTCATCGGGGGAACGACAGGGAAACTTCGGAGACGCTCGTCTCATTCCGCCAGATCCCGCCTCGCCTTCGGCCGCGCCGGCTTCCCTTATATGGGTATGGGTGGCTTCCCCCGAGACGGCCACCCGGCGCTCTTGCCCTTATCTCCGTTCTACTCTCTCCCTGGAGTGGTCAAGCACCCAGGAATGTACTCCTACCTCGGACACAACCTCCTTCCCCCCGCCCCCGGGCTAGACAGCAACCACGCAGCCGTCATGGCGCGGCTTCCGGGTATTGAAAAACTTCTCATGCACGGAATGACCTCCCCTGCAGCAGCCATATCAGCCGCAGCCGCAGCAGCAGCAGTGTCTCAGTCCTCCCTCCCCCGCTCCCCGCCCACAGCCGCTTCCCCGAGAGGCCCACCCGTCAGTAACCCACTCCGCCAATTCCCCCCTCCCCACTACGCGAGTCTTCCCTCCCCTCTCCCCGCCTCCCCGTTTCTCATACCTGGCTTCGGACACTTGTGCTCAAAATCGGTGGGAATTTCTTCCCTCGCATCTGGTCCATCCCCGCCTACGTCATCAATGCACAGGAAACTGGACCATATGTCCGAAAATCCCCACGAAGGACACAACACTTCACCGGTCAGCCTGTATCAACACCTCCTCAGACCTTTCTCAGGACAAGGCCTCGATTCGGGCAAACTCGTCACGCCAATGATCTCGAATTAACTTTGCAGAAATACACCTACGTAATTAATTTTCTGTTGACACTTACAGTGATGAGAGACTCAATGGGTCGCTCAAGAGTCTATACTACCTCGGCTTTCTGCTGAAGTTTGATTCTACGTCCACTTTGGGTAAACTTTGATCCTGGGCAAGCATGAAGCGAAAGTTCCCGAAATGTATTTATAATTATTATGAATATTATAGAAACAATCCTATACTTAGCCCTGCTTGGAGCTGAACCTCAGGAGCCAACTTTGTGCAAACCCAAAACAATAGAATTGAATTATGAATAAGATTTATCAAGTCTGTTCTCTGAACTTACCTCAAGGTGCAAGTTGAGCGTCACAAGTTAACTTCGGGAAAATCCAGAACCTGATTTAGCGTGCAGCTAAGCTAAAGATTGCATTCTGTTTCGCTGAAAATCCCAGGAACTGTGCGCAATATACACGAAATAGTATACAGTATTGTATATTTTAACATTATTATTATGTGTTATGAGCTAAGTCTCAAAGACTTGAACAACTTGAAGAGTTGCGCATGACGTCATGGTCTCCCGTTCAGAGAGCTGCCACATCTCAAGTAGCCTATATTGTGTTGTAACAAGAGTAAACTGTGTTGCAGACACTTACAGAGAGTCAGTTTTCTCTGCTTTCCACCAACATAGAGTATGGATCCCTGTTGATGAGACTATTTAATCATGGAAATTTGTTCTCATGAAGAGCAAATTTTCGTCACAAGGGTCTTCCCGTAGATGAATGCTAAATTGTAGATGATGTCATTGACTCATTGGCGTGACGTGGCCTTTGCGGTGTTTGTGTGTGTGTGTGTGTGTGTGTGTGTGTGTGTGTGTGTGTGTGTGTGTGTGTGTGTATCTGTGTGTGTATATGTGTGTTTATGGGT